GTCTCCCCTCCCCTGGGTCGGGGCCAGCTGTAATTTCTCCAGTTCCGGAGGGGCCCAGCTGCCAGTGACTGTGGATAGGACGTGTCAGACTGCCACATTCCTTGATGACCTTCCCCATGCCTTCTTCCCAGCCAACCCCACATGCTGTGCTGGCCCTTTCAGCTCCTGCTGGTGGAAGGCAGGTTGTGCCGTCTCTGTGCCACCACAACTGCATCCTGGTAGGGTTTCTTTTCTTTCCTGAGCCCTGGGCCTACATTTGGGGCAAGCAGATATTCTCCAGCTCTTGCAGTGGGGACAGACTATGATCTTACAGACCCTTTGCCACCTTACTCCTACGATCTTATGGACTATTGCATTCTATTAGCTATTGCGGGGAGGTGGTGGGGCTGGGGTGAGAAGTATGCTCTAGACTCCAGGCTACAGCCAGATCTGGCTTACATTGCCAGCTCTGCCACTGACTCACTATGGGATTCATGGCACGTCATGTCATGTGGTGCCTCAGTTTCCCCAGCTGTGAAAAGAAGAGCAGGAGCATTTCCCTGCCTTTCATGGCTGTTAGGAGGATAAATTAGTTAATTTCCTTTCTGCTGAAAAGCTCTGTGCACAGTAAGTGTTCAGCATCCCATTATCACAAAGCATCGGGGGGCATTCTCGTTGGAGCAGATTGTCAGAAAAACAAGAGGCAATTCCGACAGTCTCTGCTAAGGGCACAGGCAGGGCAGGGAATCAAATGGGTCATGGACAGAACCAGGACCCGCCAAAGCTGGTTAACATCACTCTGAGCCATTTGGAAAAATCCAGACAGATTCTACAGCCAGAGAACTTCCCTCGGGCTCTTTCCCCACGTAGCTCCAGGTCGGCGCAGCCTGGCTCTGTCACACCTGAGCAATCCCAGGGAAAGCAGTGGGACTGCAGGGGTGTAGCTGAGAACAGAGCCTGACCTGATCTCTTTTGCTTACACCACAGACCAAATCCTGAGTCTGTATGTTGCAGCCACAAAAGTGGCTTGACAGATTTGGGGCTCCCACTGAAGCCAGTGACTTTCCTGCAAGAAGGATAGGGCCCTTTAGGGAGAGGGTAGGGGGAAAGTGAGATTTACAGAGTCCGGGCTCCTGCACATAGCACTCCAGAGGTGCCCTGAAGACTGGAGTCAGGACACTACTCGTTCAAGCTGTTCATGAGAGGAGAGTCTGTGACACACCACACGCTGCCATGGACACAAGCCAGGTCCTTCCACATCAGTCTCTGGAACAGTTATCAGAGGAAGTGACTCTTTTAAGCCCAGCCGAAGAGTTGAAAGGGCAGTGTCTCCTTCCCTACAGACACCAGCCAGAACTGCTGAGCCCCAGGGCCTGATGGAGGGGGAGGGTTTCAGGAGGGGCAGGGCAAGGGAGGGGTTTCGGGAGAGTAGGGGGGCAGCAGCAGCCATGCACACTGGGACATGGCTCCCTTTTCTTCCCATTCCTTGGACTAATAGAGTGCATCTACACAGCAATTCCGTTATTTTGAAATCCATTTGAAATAATGGATGGCTTATTCCGACTTCTGTAAACCTCATTCCACAAGGAATAACGCCTATTCCAAAATAGCTGTAGTTTAGGTGCTTCACTGCTGCTATTTCAAAGTAGCGCCTCCCCAGGGCTGTTCAAAGTAATTACACCCCAATGCCTCCTGGGGCTCTAAACTGAGGTAGCACGTCCCTGTTAGAGGAGCCTGCCTCGGACTAATTTTGAGGCTTTCCTGAGGTATAGACGTGCTATTTTGAAAAAAAGCTATTGAGGAGTATTTCCTCTGGAACAGCTTATTTTGAGATAAGCGTGCAGTGTAGACATACCCTTAAAGAGTGAGGGGAAAGGACTTGCATTCTGTGCATGCCTCTCACTCCTGGCTAGTGAAGGGAGGGGGCAGAGGAGTAAATCACAGACTACAAGTACTTTCTCCTCTCCCCCAGATAGTCCCAGGAACAGGAAGAAAAGCAAGTTCCATCCTGGTGTGCATGGCTGCTGTGCCCCCTGCTCTCCCGAAACTCTGCCCTGGGGGCAGGGCTGGAGGTAGACTCCCCCTGTCAGCCCTTTAGCGCAGCCTGCGACTCTGAAGTATGCCACACGGTGCTCTGGCCACTGCTACTGTTGTAGCAGCAGTGTCAGCCAGAAACGCTGGGCTCTTTTGAATCACCAGGCCTCGGAGCAGTTGTCCCCTTAGCTCTCCTACTGTCCGGCTTGCCAACAGCCTTTGAATGTTTAGTAAAATCTGATTCCCTCACTGTTCCTTCATGATAAGCCCTTGGCCAGGGCTTCTTCCAAACCATCTTCTTCCGAGGCTGGGCCGGACTGCAATCTGGGCCTTCCCAATGCCAACCCTATATCCTCAGGCATGTTGTGCCTCAGGTCACTTGAGCCCTGAAACTAACTCAGTAAGTAGGGATGTTGGCATATAATCGAGTAAACAATTAACCGATAAGGCTTATCAGTTATTCCTATCGAGTACGTGCACCCTCCCCCCCTTCGCTGCCCCTGTATCTCAAGGCATACAAGGGGGGAGCATGAGCTGGTGCCCATGAGGAACTGGCTTTAAGCAGGCTCCCCATGAGCACCGGATCCACCTGTCCCCCCACTTCCGCACTGCTGCCTCTGATAAAGCAGCAGCACAGAGGGAGGCAGGTGGGAGCGAATAAGCATGAGGAGCCGGCTTTCAAGCCAGTTCCCTGTGCTTATCTGCTTCCGTGGACCCGCCTGCTATCCCTCGCTGACTCCCATAGAGGCAGTGAGGGGGGGCAGGCAGGAGCCGCTGCTCAGCACCAACTCTGTGGTGCCGCCTGCCCCGCACTGCTGCCTCTATCAGGGGAATATGTTGGCACATTATGCCCCCTGCCCTGACTCCCTCTAAACCTCAGGCCTCCATAGAGGAGGCTCACCTGTTTCTGAAGAGATGTTCACCTCGACACTGAGGTCAGGGATGGGGGCTCCCTGGAAGGTTGCAATACACAGATATGTGCCGTAGTCGCTGAAGCGCAGGTCAATGATCTCCAGGCTGCTGGTCACTGGTGGGAGCTCAGGGTCGTTTCTGGAAATGAGCAGTCGGTCGGAGACCCTGGCTGGTTTCCCATTCTTGTACCAGAAGTAGACGACCTTCTCCTGGGGGACGGCATCCACATGGCACGAGAGCTTCAGGTCCTGCCCTAGCTGGATGCTTTCACTCTCTTTGATCACATCAGGGGTGATCTGGAAGGTAGCATTCTTCATGGCTGGGATGGACAGAGGTGCAAAGCCGGTTAGTGAAGCCAGAATGCCCTGTGCCCAAAGGGGAAAATGTCTGTACGTTATCTATCCCTTGCCCAATGGGAGACAGTGGTTCCATGTGCTCCCATCCCATGCTCAAATGAGATCCCCATGGGAGGCAATGGTGCCACCCCCCAAGCCTGCTGTGGCACTGCATGTTAGGATCAGGAAGCATCAGCAAAGCAGTGGGAAGGTAGGACTGGAGTAACCATGGATGCGGCAGGCCAGGAGTGAGGTGCATCAGCAGAACTGTAAGTGGGGAAGCTGGCACAGCACTGTCTCCAGTCAGCACTACCACTCCCTTGCTGAAGTAGCACATTCACCCCAATGTAAGGGAACAATAACAAGCTCTGGGTACTCAGAGTGTCTGCCTAGAAGTAGAAGGACGTACATCGCACCAGCAGGTTCACGGTCTTCTTGGCTGGGTTCCCCACATTATTGATGGCCGTGCAATTGTAGTAGCCAGAATCTTCCATGCGGATCCCCCAAATGGTGAGGTTGCCCTCTTGAATGAGGCTGTTGTGAGGCATGGGGCTAGGTGAGTGAGACCAGACCACCTCAGGCAGTGGGTCACCGCCTGTCAGGGAGCACTGCATAGTGACATTATCTCCTGGGTTCACCACCAGGGTCTCATTGACAGACAGCTTCAGAGCGGGTGGGGCTAGAAGAGAAAAAAGGCAACACTAGTGAGCTCTGAGGAGACTCCCACCAGCCTGGATGTCGCTCAATTCGACATGAACCGAGAAACTTTCCATGTGTTCTCAGAAAAGATGGGGTAAGGGTGGGCTGTCCATGAGTTCATTAAAAATGTGAATCTAGGAGGACCCCATCAAACATGGCATCTCTAACCAAGTCAGGGGACCTAGCTGTAGTAGGGTTCAAAGGCATAGCATAGACTGGCTCCCACAGAGACCCCAAACAGAGGCCACATCTCAACTGCAATCACAGGGCACCACTGCAGCTAACTTGAATCTAGCTAGCTCAGGGTCCCAGAACGGTGAAGCCACTGCGGCACATGCTTACTCATGGGGATAGTCCATGCTGAATTCCAGGTGGACTGGATTCCAGCTGGACTGATGCATACGTGGTCACAACTTTCCTGCTCCAGGACTGAGCTAGTGAGATTAAAACCTGCGTGGGCATGTCTACGTGAGCTGCAGTGATACATTGCGATTGCAGAGTAGACGTACTCTTTGTTTAGACTCCAAACAGTCCAAGCTTTAGAAACAGAGTTAGATCCCATCTACACTGAGCCCTGTAACAAAATTAATGCTCTGGCTGTGTTATAGAGGTAGGGCCTAATTTTCTACCCCATATCAGAACAGTAGTATTTTACACCCATTTTGCATCAATACAGTTGGCAACACAGACAGACAAGCAGTGAAGAATCAGGCTACATCTACACTATGAGCTTTCTCTGCAAAAAATATGCTAATGAGGGACTCATTTGCATGAGTCACAATCTCATTTGCATCTTTTCTGCCAATCCATTTTATGCTAAGGGTTTTTGTGCAAAAACAAGCAGTGTGCATGTTTTCTTTTTGCGCAAAACCCCCTTTTTCCGCAAGATTGGTAAACCTCCTTTTTGGGGGCATAAGGATCTTGTGGAAAAAGGGGGTTTTGCGCAAAAAGAAAATGTCCATACTGCTTGTTTTTGCGCAAAAACCGCAGCGCAAAAATGGATCGGCAGAAAATATGCAAATGAGATCGCGATTCATGCAAATGAATCCCGCATTAGCATATTTTTTGCTGAGAAAATGTGTAGTGTAGATGTAGCCTCAGGGTCTAAAGCTTGTTGATTTTTGCTCCCAATTCAAGTAACTGTGGCTGCAGCGGGGTGGGTATGTCTACACTACAAAGTTAATTCAAACTAACAGCCGTTGGTTGGAATTAACTTTAACAGGGGCTACACATACAAACCGCTAGTTCGAATTTAAATTGAACTAATGGAGCACTTAATTTGAACTAGGTAAACCTCATTCTACGAGGACTAATGCCTAGTTCGAATTAAGGAGTTTGAATTAAGGGCTGTGTAGCCACTTAATTCGAACTAGTTGGACTCTAGCCCCGCCCAGGTTGCCCTGGTGGCCACTCTGGGCCAAACCAGGGAAACTCTTCTGCCCCCCTCCCAGCCGCAGAGCCCTTAAAGGGGCACGGTCTGGCTACAGTGCTTGTACCAGTTGCAAGCCTGCCAGCACCCAGCCAGCAGACCCTGCACTTGGCACGGCACGAGCCAGCCACCCACTGCCACCCAGCCTCTTCCCAGGACCAGGCTGGTGGCTCCCAGGAGCCTGCCTGGGGCCATAAAAGATGGGTGTCCACCTGGTCTAGTGCAGAGATCATGGACCTCATCGAGGTTTGGGGGGAGGCCTCTAACGTCCACGATCTCTGCACTAGCCACAGGAATGCAGCCGTCTAGGGCAGGATAGCTGCCAGACTGGCCACCAAAGGCTACATGTGAACCCAGGAGCAGGTTTGCATGAAAATCAAGTTGGTCCAGTGAGACCCCCCAACCCTGAGCTTAGAACATAAGAACATAAGAACTGCCGTACTGGGTCAGACCAAAGGTCCTAGCCCAGTAGCCTGTCTGCCAACAGCGGCCAACACCAAGTACCCCGGAGGGGATGGACTAAAGACAATGACCAAGCGATTTTTGTCTCCTGCCATCCATCTCCAGCCTTCCACAAACAGAGGCCAGGGACACCATTCCTACCCCCTGGCTAATACCACTCCATGGACCCAACCTCCATGAATTTATCTAACTTCTTTTTAAACTGTTATAGTTCTAGCCTTTACAGCCTCCTGTGGCAAGGAGTTCCACAGGTTGATTATGTCCTGTGTGAAGAAGAGCTTTCGTTTATTAGTTTTAAACCTGCTGCCCATTAATTTCATTTGGTGTCCCCTAGTCCATATATTATGAAGAACTTTTCTTTAGTCACCCTCTCCACACCACTGATGATTTTATAGACCTCTATCATATCCCCCCTCAGTCAAAGGCCAAAGGTGCTTTACCATGTTTGTGCTAGTGTTAAGACATATGGGCCCTCACAGCAGTCAGGCACAGGGTTTTGATTTGAGAAAGCAACCTAGCTGGAACAGCAGAAAAGGCCCTTCCTTGCAGACATACGACAGATTCACAGAGAACATCCTATTTCACAGCATTAATGGGAACAGTGTGCCTACTGTACTTAAAGGAGAGACGAGAAATAAATATCTGTCTGTATCCAACAATACAGTTCCAGATGCCAAACCTGCTTAAATAACTTGGACACCAGGATGTATTTCTCTGCCCCCGTTCAGCAGTATATTCAAGCAGGGCTGAGAAGCAGCTTTGGAGCATGTCTCTATTAAGGATATAACACAAACAACTCACAACATGAGACTTCCCTCCTTTTCACAGCACATTCTCAGGGTATGGACAGCACTTTCCTTGAGACAAGCATTCTACCCTCCTTCAGACTGCTGCAACCCTGCTGGCTTAGCCCCAGGGGACGGAAGAACAGAACTTGTTGCTTGGATCATGAGTGCCCAAACTGCGGTGCACATGCCACTGGTGGTACAAGAGCTTGCTGTAAAGGGGGGGGGGGGGGGGGGTCACTCTGTAGGGGCCACTTTAAAGGGAGTGGGGCCCAAGAACAGACAAGCCCTGTTCCATGAAATGGCCCCTTTAAGGAAACAGGTGTTCAAGGGAGCAGCAGAATGGGAGCCGGTGTTAAGGAAGCAGCTACCTGCTTAACATGGTAAAACTTATATGCCAGGTGACGCCCAGGAGGAGCAGAGCACAGCCAGGAGGGAAGAACTGCAGGGGGACACAAAGTCAAGAGAAAGGCTCACCAGAATGAGAGCCAGAAGGAAGACTGGTGGGCTGAGAAAACCTGACTAAATCAGGACCCAGCCCTAAGGAGAAGGGCTGTAGGGATGTCTGAAGCAAGGCAAGAGGCGTGTGAGTCCAAGGACCAAGGGAGGGTCTGTGGAGTGTGGCTAAAATGTGGATATTGGTGGGCAGGAGAAGCCTGCTTGAACCATGGCATAGCCCTATGAGGGAAGACTGGGGAGTCCTTTACAAAGATGAGTGTTTCTGTGTGAAAGGCTCTCCAGAGAGGTCTGCAACAATGACTGGCAGAGTTCCCTGCATCAGTGGGAACTGAAGGGAGCTGGGAAGTTGAAGCACTGGAAGAAGAGTGAACTGGAACTGTCTGGTGTCCAGGTGATGATCAGGGACCTGTGGTCAATAGAAGCCAGCCTTGTTGTGTTATGTTCAGCAATAATCCAAGTAAGAATTAGCAGAAACTTTGAACTTAAGTGAGACAAATTAAAGCCTCAAGCCACTGGCTTTCTTTAGCAGCAAGTCATTTGACAAATCTTTTGTGTTAATCAGATTACAAGGAAGACAGAATAATTGATTATTCTTTTTGATTTACTGTCTAAAAACCTGAGAGGTTAAAATTGTTATAATTTAGCACTTTAGACTTCTTTGTGGGCATCTATTTTACTAGAAGTCCAGAAATGCTTACACCTATTAAGGCCTATAGAAATGGGCACTAAAAGAAGAAATTTGCTCTTGATACTTCAAACATCAATAATGAAGGCTGTACAAAAAGCCAATGAAATTTGGAAACTGCTGATTTAGATCATTCGCGGTTCTTTATCCTAACCACCAGCTCACCACTGCAGCTCACTCCTGGTTCTCTGCATGCCTCAGATTCATGGTTCTACACACCTGGGGTACAACCCAGACGCCTCCTTTTTTACGGCACAGCTGAACAGGTTGGGCTGATTCAAAGCGCATGGGCAGCTCCTCATCTTCTGGATGCTCACATCCTTGTATTTGGTTTCCTCCATTCCTGCCCTCCCCAGGAACAGTCCTCAGAACCTTTTCTCTGCATTCTGCACTTCATCTCACGAAAGGCCCTTTCATGTTCCTTGTCAGCTCCATCGAGGGCTCCAGACAGAGCTTGAGAAACAATCAGCAGCAGCACAAAGGCTGAGAGTGTGTTTTAAGTAACAGCCATAATAATGCAAAATAAGATGTTGTTACATATTCATGAAGCCTGATTTAACAGCATCATTATTTCTGCCTCTCCTCTCCCTGGACTGCGTTAATGAGCTGTACTGGATCTCTGAATTACAGCTCGTGCAGACAAGGCTAGAAGGGCCACTCTCTCCTCCATGCAGGCGGCATAACTTAGCATAACTATGGCCAGAAAGCTCAGCGCAGTCCAGCCTGGTGTCCTGCTTCTAGCAGTGGCCAGCGTCCCTCTTGTCACATGCACAAGGAGCACCCAACCAGCCTTGAAAGCACTGTATAGCTGCATAGTGAGGGAATGCCATCTTATGCTGCCAGCCATAAAGATCAGTTTGAGGGACAAGGTTTGATTCCTTTGATTTCTCCTCAACCTGGAGCTTTGGAAAATAAATATTAAATCCAGAGAACAACAGAATAACAGGGAGCAAAAATGATTTGTGTGCTTGCCAGTGATGACTTTAGGCTCTGATAAGGTTTCACAAATCCAAGGAGACCCCTAATAAGGTGGCCTGACTCATCCTGGATGGATAAACCCCCATAAGCTGTGCAGACATGACAGAAAGCCAGACCATCCGTAAGACAGTTGCCCTGAGCCAAGAGACCTGAGCCTCTGAATAGCAGTCACCTCCCCTGACGATGAGCTGGTCTTGCCTGGGAACGGCCTTTCCTTGGCCACGCTGATAGACACTGCACTGAATTGGTCTTGGCAGAGACTCGTCCTCCCCCAGCAGACCTGGAAACAGGCAGAGATCCATTTCTTTGGGGGCTTTTGGGAGGGGTGGTGGAGGAAGGCAGCAGGGGAGCATGTGTCAGCTACTGTTCGGGTTCTGATAAAGCTATTTAGACTCCTGTTGAGTGAGGTGAGGACGTGTTCTGTGCAGGATAAGTGACCTCAAGTGGTGGCTGCTTCCTCAGGGCAGCTTATTTGTGGGCACAAGCAGGAGAGGAGGCCCCTGTGAAACAGCTACCCACACATCTTAAGGCAGTGCATCTCCAGCTAGAAGGTATGAACCCAGCCCCAGCTCTGGGAGCTGAGGATGGATCGCATCCTCCTCCAGTTGGTGGATGGAGGGTAACAATATGCAGCCATTGTTATGCAGGAGATGAATCTCATTTATTTGTAACCCGTGGCGATTCCTTTTGTTCTCGGCTCAGAAAACCTGCTGGCAGAGTCTGCTGTGGAGCGAGGGGACCATTAAAAACAAAGAGTCGCTTTCAATTCCCTTTGAAGTCCAATTTGCTGCAGTAAAACTGCAGGAGAATTAACCAGCTGGGCTGCTTAACTTTGCAGAAATCAAGGGAGAAAATGTCAGCCATTCCCCAACCACAGCGGGATCAGAATATGTGGGCTGCAACAAACTGGACTTGAGAGCGCCTCAGAGCTCTGGAACCACAAAGGATCATCAGGAAGATGATGATGAGGAGGAGGAGGCAGAAAACTTCTGCAGAATGAGGATGCAAATAGAGAATAGGAATCAGAACTGGTGCTGCAGAATTTGTGCTGCAACCACAACGCTCAGCTGCTGCCCAAGATAACTATCAAAGAGCCAAGCCAGGGAACAAAAGATTGATTCCTTACCAAGCTCTGGGCTCTCTGGCAGGGAGAAGTACAGATATGCACCACAGACAGTCAGTAGCAAGAGGCCCCTGATGAATTGTGGGAGCCACTTTTATAGCCAAATGGCAAAGGATCAGCAACCAAACTGGGGAAAGAAGATTCTCTGGCCTAGCTTGACCTGACCCATCACTTCCCCTCACAGGTCCATACCATCGGGGTCTATAAATACTTAAAAAGATTTCCATTCACTTCTGTGCTCCCAGAGTTCAGGTATAGAAGCAAAGACATCCCGAGTAAGGCTGTTCAGAATTCTGGACACAACCAATGCTACAAGAAAGTTACTAATGCATGAGCTGAGGAAGGGAGGAAGGGATTTATGCAAGATCAGAGAGAATTGTAAAAAAATATTCATACCTAGACAGAGAAAGACTTTAAATTTGTGTGCATAAACATGAGTATATAGCTAGCTACATATTGCAAGAAAGGAACACACATCTACTGTATGGGTCAAATGCTGAGCTGGTGCAAATTGCTAAGAAGTTGAGTAAATTTGGCACCAGATCGGATCAGGAAAACCCTTACTTCCGGTTCACTCAGTAAAGTGGCTGAAACAGAAAAGAAGGATGCTTTCTTTGCATTTACCTGGGAAGCATGGTTCTGAAGAGGAATTAGAGTCTATAAATCTACAAACATATCAACTGAGAAGCCAGAGCTAGAAAAGCTGCATGAGGCCCCATTCCCCTTGACTAGAGCAGGGTTGCTTTTTTTATAATGCATGGTCTAGTGTTCTGTGCAGTCTAGTTTGAAAGGACTCAAGAAATGGAGCTTCCAGCTTTTGAGACGATTACATAGCTGCAAAGATCTTATTGCTAGTATTGATGCCTAACATTTAACTTGGGTTTTCCTTTTCTTAAGGTATTTCATTATTTATACATAAAAACATGTTAATTGTCTCAGCCCCTGGGCTCGGTTAGATCAATAAATATAATTTTCTACAGTATTAACTATTTCTCATCAACAGTTGGCATCATCAATAGTTCTGCCTTCATTGTACAGAGATGACACAAGGGATGGAAACTATTTTGTATTATATTAGAGCTAGGTGAATAATTCAAACAAGCACATTACATCACATTACAGACACAGATTCAGCCTCTTTTGATCACAGAATATCCCAAAGCAAAAAAGCAATTTTCTTGTATTTATTCATTATTTAAGACATTTGACAATTTTTTGCTTTTTAGTTTTTGAGTTTAAATCTATTGGTTGTGACCAGCTTCCTGCAAGGGTTTGATATAGAGCACCCAGTTGCTAATTACTCAGGAACTCTCTGAATGATCACGTGATACTGTTTCTGTTCCTTGACTGGTTGACCACTCAAGCATCCCTGTCATGAACATTTGTGCATGTGGTTGTGAAATTCGTTTTGATATCTGCTTTCCACAGGCATTCGTGCTGGTAGAACTTACTGGCTTGAATGCTTTCAGAAAGCAGCTGCATGAGGGGTGTGAACCAGGGTGCAGCAAAGTCATCCAAATATTGTATGGAAAATTTGTGGAAAGTTTGTGCAGCGTTTTCCCAAGTATCAACTGTACAAAAAGCAAATCAGGAATATTGATTTTATTTTTGTAAAAAATTGGCTACAGGTTGGACCTACCTGGTCCTGCACCCTTAGAGGTTGACCAGCCCTGAAGGAGGGAGTTTGCCAGACCAGGGAAGATCAGGCTCTTGGGCTATTAGCCTTGGGACTCTGCTGCCCCACCCCATGGCCACTGGGACTCCACTGCCAAATACTTCCTTCTGGGGCTCTCTAGTCCAGGATTCTCTGGTCCAGCAACATCCACTGTCCTACCAGATCACAGATGTTGCGGAACCAGAGAGAGTTCCAGACAAGAGAGGTTCAATCTGTTGAGGTTCCCTCAACACCCAAACGGAGATTGACTATCCTTGCGACATCCCACCAGCTATGCTTCAAGCTCCCAGGAATTCCAAGGAGTGCCGGACACATCTTACTCCAACTCATTGGTTATTGCCAAGTGTTTGTACTATGGACTTGATCCCCTGCCTACTGAGATCAGTGGGAATCCTTAACGGGTATTTGATTGGGTTCCACTTCACCCAAACTTCGGAGGATGACAGCTGTTCAGCAAGCAAGAGGTGCTCGGGGTACTCTGTTGCTGCTCTCTTACCTGTTGTGTTAGTGAGCTGGAAAGTGATTGATTTGTCAGGGATACCGCACACATTCCGGACCGACACCTGACATGTGTAACTGGCATAATCCTGCGGCCTCAGGTTTTTCAGCTTCAGAACTTTGGTTTCACCCTGGGAAAAGTGGAAAGAAATGGAACAGAGTCACTGAGTGACAGATGCACTACAAACCACCTTTGGCTACAAATCTGTGGTCTGATTCTGAGAAGTGCTGGTCAATGGGAGTTGGAAAAGTTCAGGACCTCTCTGGATCAGCCCCTCATTCCTTTGTAAAAGGAGCGAATGTTTGTGGTAATAATTCCAAAACTAATCATTCTCTATGTAAATAAAATAAATAAATGAATGAAATCAGCAGCATTGCCATGTATCCTGAAAGCACTATTGAGCAGTTTTATAGATAATCTCTTGTCAAATGCTACAGGATCATCTTGCAGAACTGAAAGGATCTAAACCACTTACAGCAAGAGTCTGATCTCACATTGGGATATATCCAGCAGTAGCTCTAGTCAGTGGAGTCATAATGTCATAAAACCAGGGGAAACAAGATCAAATTCCAGCCCTTAAGCTTTAATACTTGGCTAAATACAGCATGCTCAACAGTTAAAACCATAAACATTTGCAGTAGAGGAAAAAGGGTAATTAAGAGAAATATTCAAATAAATCATCAAACCTTTTTTCCCCCCTTTGCTGAAGATTCTAATCTCATTTACACTGAAGTAATTCCAGAGTAACACACTGTCTGTAATGGAGTTACCTTGGATTTTTCATACGAATGTAACTAAACTCAGATTCTAGTACTGCCAGTTATGGGCACACAACAGAACCAGAAGAACTCTGTTAAATTCACATCGTATGGGCTCTGTAGATTTACATTTAAGAGACCTGCATATGGGAAGTTCTGAGATACACCCCCTGGTTTGTAGCCTCTCATTCATATGCCTTTATACAACGGTATGCCTGTCCTTTTTCATTTGTTTGTGTAAATCTCTTTTTACAGATTTTTTTTTTTAATACAAATCTGGAAACGAAAAAAAAGATACCAGCTTGACAAATCCTCCTGAGATGACTGCGCAGGGCAAGACATGGAGCTCACAAGCATTAATATACATTGAACATGTAGTATCTGACCTGGGTGAATTAGAAGATAAATTCCTAGGAGACCAATACACAAGTGAAAAACACCTCCCCAGAGATCTGTTGCTATGCTGAATGAATAAGGGTATTTACAATGGGTGAGTCAACTAGTGATTTACACATAGTTCATATGCATCCAGTTTATTGATCAGTAGACACATTAGACACAAGGCTGGGTAAACGTGTATAAACCTAGATTGTAAATCAGTTTACAAAAGTATACACTGGTAAGCCTTTGGCTCATTTGTTAAATGTCAGCCATCTAAACCTTATAGTGACATAGTGTATCTGTCCTGACTGAGAATACAACAGTATCAGTGTAATTGAACTGTGATTTGTTAAACATGAAGCTTCTAAGCTGCAAGACTGATTCTGTTATCACACCCATTTTATACCCAACGTGACTTTGCTAACTTCAATTTCTGGAGTAAGCCACGGGAAAACAGAGGAGAATTAGGGCACCTCTGCATGAACAGAGCATTCCTACACTGCTTTCCTTCTAGCTGGCAATTGTAGGAATGACCCAGGTTGGCAGGGGATGCCCCTTGACAAGAACCCACAGACATTCTGCAGATGCAACACAGAAAATAAGGGTATGTCTACACTACAAAGTTAATTCGAACTAACGGATGTTAGTTCGAATTAACTTTGATAGGCGCTACACTAGCGCTCCGCTAGTTGGAACTTAATTCGAACTAGCGGAGCGCTTAGTTCGAACTAGGTAAATCTCATTCTACGAGGACTAAACCTAGTTCGAACTTACTAGTTCGAATTAAGGGGTGTGTAGCCCTTAATTCGAACTAGTGGGAGGCTAGCCCTCCCCAGCTTTCCCTGGTGGCCACTCGGGCCAACACCAGGGAAACTCTATTGCCCCCCTCCCGGCCCCGGACCCCTTAAAGGGGCACAGGCTGGCTACGATGCCCGTGCCAGGTGCAAGCCTGCCAGCACCCAGCCAGCAGACCCTGCACCTGGCACGGCTCGAGCCCGC